TCAGGCAAGGTTAAGATCGGGATTTGATACCTAAACTTCTTCTTAGCGGCGGTAACCTTGTCCCCAGGCTCCTCTTCCTTAAGCTTCTCATAGACTTTCTCTGGTTCCTCGGCCTCAGGCTCCGCCTGGGGTTCGGAGCTTCCGGCGACCTCCTCCATAATGGTGTTACGGTTGATCCTTCTCCCGGCCGTTCCCAGTCGAGTGGTTGCGTTCACCCTATCACGTCCGTCGCTTTCCAAAATAAAGTTGGCCTGCGGCCCGCGCCCCCGGAGCTGATCCCAGATGATCTCGCCCACCGGTTCGGCTTCTACGGCTGTTATTTCTAACCCGTTGAGCATGATAATGGCTCGCCGCATCCCTCCTGGTGAGTTCCAGTTCACCCGTTCTCCTTGTGGTCCAAATATTTCCCCCTTTAACGACCTGGTACACCTTCTTTTCAGAATATCATGGTTGAGCTTTGGGCATGCGCGCACATGATGTCCTATAGCGGTGCAGTACTTGCATTGCTCGTTAGCAAGATCTCTCCGTCCGTATCCCCGGTTTGCCACACCTGGCGGGACCACAGCTTCCTGGGGAGGGAGGGCGGGTCGTGATACTTGCGGTTGCATAACCATTAGCGCGTCTTCCATCCTTTCAATCTTATTGTCGACCCCGTGCACCCGTTCATGTAGACTTTCAATCCCCTTTTTTACCTTGTCGCCCGTCCTACCGGTCAGATCTATGATCTCTCCTTCCTTGAGCAAGGCCAACGTTTTCATTACTACCGTTTTCTGAGCCAGATCTGTTACCGTGCTAAAATCAACATCTTGCGTGTTTACGAACTTGCTCATCTGTTGGTAGGCTGACAGGATCTTGTCTTTGTCGAACTCGAAGAACTGCCTGAGGAAATATTTGCTCATTATCCGATGCGTGACCCCGGGGATCCTTAGTGCTACTAGAGTAAATTCCCGAAGGAAATCATTGTACGTTGTGAAGTTCTTCCTCTGAACTTCCGCTAGGTCGGCCTCCGTTGCCATTTTCTCCGCCGCTAGGTACTTCCTCATCATCACATCCCGGGTCTCCTTCCAAGACCGGCTTGCGGCTACAATGACCATTATGTCCCGTCCAAGGCTTAACGACACATGCTGTCCTTGGTGGTCCATCTTTTCCTCCTCGGTCCACTTTAGTAACGCAGCTAGGTTCTCGTAGTCGATCAGGAACTCCGTGATGTTTGCTCCATCGAAAGTCAACTTTTTCTTGTTGTCTGTCAGATAGCCTTGATTTTTGTTTAGTGCTCGAGCGAGGGACGACACTATCTTCTTAAGGCCGCCCTCGGAGCTGCTGGCCTCGCCTGCCACACTGTTATCCGGGCTCTCCTTGCCGGCCTTCTGTCCCTCCCTGGTTTTCATAGTTCCTTCCGGGTCAAACCATCCCAACACTCTTTCCCTAAGGCTCCAAATTCCTTCGCATCCTCGCGCTACTGCTGGCGTGATCGGCAGGCGGCTAGCCCTACTATCCATGGCTGGCAGAGTCGTAGCCTTTTCTGCTTCCATCCCCGGAGAGTTCTCTCTCTTTCCTTCTCTTGCTCGGTGTTCCCCCACGGCCACTACCTTTATCCCCTTATCCAGTCCCACCTTGGCTGGCTTTCCATTCGTCCCGGGGTTCCTCCTGCAGAGGACCTTCTTTGTTCCCAATCATCATTTCCTCAATCAGTCTTGCCTTGTATTCCGCGGTCCTCTTGTCTATCTCGGCTAGTTTGCGCCTTGTGTCCGTGACCCTTACTTTCTTAGGCAAGGCTCCTTCCGAGTTTCGGGGGGTTGTCCTATCCTTATTTATGCCTTCCTTAGTCCCCTGGGTCCCCTGCCTGCTTCCCCCGGCTTTCCCCGAGCTTTCTCTTGTGGAGATTTCCTTCTGGTTCCCTTTGGTACCATCCGGATTTATCGATTCTCTGTCCTTCTGCCCCCCTTCGCTTTGCGCGGCACTGCCTTCTAAGCCTGGTTCTCCTTCACTCTTATAGTTATCTGTCTCCTCCTCCGTTGCCATTTTGCCTAGTTCTGCATAAGCCAAAGAATTCCCAGGACACACGCAATGCGAGGTTTTTAGGTTCCCTAGGCTCCAACTTTGTTGGCTTATCTGGATAGTCTCCTTTCCTATCCCCGTTTCCTGATTGCCCTTCCTTAAGGAGGAGCCACGACTGACCCTGCCGCCCAGCCGAGCTATGAACGTGACTGGGCTTCCTTTATCACAAGCTCGTTTGTAGTGCCCTTGTCCCGTCGACCGACGCGAGGGAGTCCGGGTTAGGCATCCTGCTAGGGGAAGCCTTCCCGGGCAGTGTTTCCCGTTTTTTACCTTCCGGGTTATGGTCACTCATTAGGAGTCTACCCCCTCCTTTGTTTTTCTAGTGGGTTTTAGCCATCCGGGTCCGAGGCTCCTTTCTTATTCCCATCGGCGGATTTCCGTACGCAGCGAACTATACTGGATCTGCCCTATTGGCGTGCCTGCGGATCCTAGTCCCGCTCGCGCCCTCGTGGTTCTTCTGGTTCGGTCGGCTCCTCGAATAGCTCAGCCACCCCTGCCAAATAGCTCTCTCCTATCTCGATCTCCCTTTGGATTATGCGTTCGTACCCTGTCTGGTCTAGCCAGGGCGCACGAAATATCAGGATTTGGATGACCTCCAGTAACTCGTGGGCCCTGTTTCCCCAGAACGGCCCATGCCTCACGGCGATATCATAGAACATCCCGATGGTTAGAGAGGAAAAGTGGTCTGCCCACATTATTGCCGAGTCTGTCAGCTCCTGCGCCCTTGCGAGGCTTCCGAAGACGAGATCTATCATAAACCGGGGGACCCGGGCGACCCTTTGAAAGACTGGTGCCAGCTCGTGACCTTGTGCTATCTCTACCCCCAACGAATGCCAGCCGATCTCAGACACATACATGGTCCTGGTAACCTCCAGATTGGAGAACAGATCATCTCCGAGTCCTCGGTTGAGTCTCATTCCTGTCCACCGACATTCTACCAACATGAAGGCGGCGTCCCTTCCCAAAGTCACGGCCCGCCATTCTACGTCGAACCCCCGATAGGTAGAACTCGACGGGAGGGATACTTCCCATCGTCCACCGTTGTTCCACGGCGGTCCGGGGTACCGGGGCTGGCGTTCCATTCGCACACGGCGCTGGCGTTCCACTTGCTCACGTCTTGCTGCCATTGTTACCTGGGTGATTTCCTGCATAGTCCACGTAGAAAGGGTTACAGCCAATCTTCAGAATTTGCCCACCTACTGTCCCCCTTGCCCTTCGTGTTTTCATTTCTCTTTTTTAGTCTCAACTATCCCTCTATACCCCTGGGAGCAGTAGCCTCCTCTTGCTGTTCGTACAGTCGGTAGAGATCATCTATGTAGGTCGCGCCCCCGACCTACCTCTCGCCGGATGACTCTCCACATTGTCTCATCACTTATTTGTGGAACTCCTGGCCTAGCATTTACTGCTGCTCTTAGAATACAAAGCACCTCACGCCCTTGTTCGTCCACGAAAGGCCCCATCTCTAGAAAGGCCCGATAATATTCTCGATACATTAATGCTTCGTCAAAATTTAGCCTAGTTACGGCAGTCACCGCCTGCTCCACTCGTTTTATGCCTCCCACTTGTCTTAGCAGGAAGGGAGTTAGACTCATCCGTACGACCTCATTTGGCAGCTCGAAAACCCCTGCCGCGGCGACTTTTACCTCCGCCGTTACGTCATCTTGTTCCGGGTCTGCAAACTCAAACCCCTACCGCCAGGTTATTTGCCATGCCCCTTCGAACATTCGCATGGGGTCATCCCCGGAAGCCAAAGCAATCCCAAAGGTCCGCCATCCCCCTTCCGACAGGTGTAAGGATCCCGTCGCGTGTACACGCCCTGGGCGGTTCAAGTCTACGCCCCCAAACTCCCCTCTCGCATGCCATTCCAGCTCCACTACTAGGTACACCATATCTTCCACCAACTCTACCCCCACCCAGTCCATTACCGGATTGCCTACCGTACTTCTTGTCGGAAGGCTTATTTCGACCCTGCCCTCTGATATTCTTGGTGGGAGGATCCCACGAGGTCTATCTGCCCAGAACGTCATTCGTCGGGTCATCTCGCAATGTCTCCTTTCCTGCTTTCTTAGTCCGATTGCTGCACCCACCGAGATTCCATGCTTTTCGTGTTTTAGTCTTTCAACCCTCCCTACTAATCGTACACTGGTTCTCGCTGCCATCCCCAACTCATACACGTTCAATTCTACCCGACCCCATTTTCCAGTTGTTGTCACTTCCCCCTTATTTCGATCCTTATTCACCATCTACGGCCTAATGTACACACTCCCTTTCTTATGTTACAACTTACTTCACAAACACCCTCCATACTCGGGCGTTTTCGCTGTGTTCGATCCCTTGGCCTCATTCAGTCGAACCACAGTACCTCAAATAGTTTAAAAACGTCGTCTACGTAGGAGGGTGCAGCCGCCGCCTCCCGGCTAACTATGGCAACCCAAGACTCCGCCCCTACCTCTAGGCGGTCATACCTGCCTATTCTTAGGACGATGATGACTTTCTCGGCTCTATCTCCGTAGAAGGGACCATATTTCAATGAGAGCCTATAGAACTCCTCAATCAGCCAGGCACACTCCATATGCACCTTTCTCATGGAGTCGGCTACTTCTAAAATGTGCTTAAATCCCCCAAACCACTTAGCTATGAATTCCGGTACCCAAGCCGTTATTTGTAGACTTGGAGGTTTGAGTTCCTTCCATCCTCCAATCACAACTCTGCTACTAACTTCGTCCCACCCCTCGTTGGCGAACAACTTGCCTTCCTTTCGGGTTCGGGCCTCTGCTTCCCCTAGAAGCCACATCGGGTCCTGTCCCATTGCTAACATGGTGCAAAACAGGTGTCATCCATCCTCGGAAAGGACAATCGTTCTAGCTGACTCTACAATGCCTTCTGCTATATCATCCCAACCTTCCTCTTCCCTTATCGGGTTCCAAATCCGCTCTATCCATACATATGACAAGTCCCGGGCAACCTCAAACCCAATCCAGTCGCACGTGGTCCCTCTCCATCCGTTCCCTGTTGGTATAGGCATTTTCATTCCTCCTCTGAGTCGCCGTGGTTCCTAGCCTTTGAAGGGGTATTCCATCATCCTTTCTTCTCTAGTCATCTTTCCCTTTCTTGCACAGTACCAGACCACCCGTCCTCCCTAAGTTAATTCACCCTACCCCTCTCAGAAGTCCCAGTCCTCTATCTCTTCATCTTCGTCTTCATCACTGAAGTCCTCCTCCTCGTCATATACCAACTCCCTCACCCCATCTAGAAACGTCTCCCCTATTGCCACATTCCTGTAGACTATCCCCCAATGCACAGCGCTAGGGACAAAGATATTGTCTATGGTAAGGCAGTTTAGTATCTCGGTCAGCTCCTCCGCCCAGTTCCCCTCGAACGGCCCCATCTCTACCGATAACCGAAAAAAATCCTGCCTAGCGCATTGGTATAGCCCGAGGTTTGTCATGGACTGTTATATCCGTACTAGCCTGCTCCGGGTTCCGAAAACCGCATCCACTAGAAATGAGGGCAGCACACATCGCATGGTTCTTACGGGTCGCCTCATGCTTCCCCTATCCCCAAGTTCCACTCGTACGTCTACCTTTTCCATTTTCATTTCCCGCCGCTGACATGCAGCCCACACAACCTCTGCTTCTGGCTTCCTAAACAATTCGTCCGGCGTATTTCCGAGTGCCAACTCTATGATCATAGCTTTCTCCCCATCTTGCGACAAGTAGACCCACCCCCGGGCTTCCACTGTCCCTCGGAATTCCAAATCCATTAAACTTGGTGATAACCTCATCAGGCTGACATTAGTCCATATTGTTTCTATCCAAAGGAAAGCATCCTCTCCTTCCAGCATTACCATTTGATACGCTGGTTCAAGGTCCGTCCACGCTCCATTTTCCGGGAGGACGACCGATACCCCATCCTTTACATCTACAGGCATTTCCGGGCCGCTAGTATAGATCGGGGAAGGCAACCATCGCGCCATCTTGTTTTCAGCACCCGACCCCTGTTTTCATAAAAAGGCACCAACCGATCCTTTTGGTCAGGTCAACCCTTGTCCTAGATGAGAATTATTTCAGACCCCTCATCAAGGTCTCCCTACTTTACCTCCCCTTTCCTAAGTACCTCCTTCCCATAATTTCTTCGGCCGACTATCCATTTGCCCACATTCTTTCTCTTGGTTCCATTCCAATTGACCTCTATCCTCCTTCCTTCCGATCATCTCTCACTCGTGCGGACTTAGATGGGAGGGGGAATAGACTTAAAAGAGTGTCCGTCCAACAGTCCAATCTCAATCAATTTTTACAGAGGGGGAACACATAAAAGAAAATCAGGCAGCCTCACATACGGGCCGATCATCTCCTCACCGGCCATCCCAATATGATCTCTCCGCTGGTACTATCGGTAGGGTTTTATCCCATACCTCAAGCACCGCTCAACCGTCGCAAGCGCGGTATCCAGGTCTCAGCAAGGCATTCGCCCTTTCCTCCTTACCCAGAATACCCCATCCCGACTTGCCGCTCGT